AATGACTTTTCATCAATCATTAAACCTGTTCCACCTCTTCTGGAGGGAACCAGCTACCAGCAAGCAAGAACAGGGGAACAAGGAACTCTCTCTTAAAGATTTCTGAAACGGGAATTTGTGTCCAGTTTTAATACAGAATTCAAATATGGTACATGCTGGGAGACACAGTATTTCTTCTGTAGGCTTTCAGTCTCTGGGACAGTTGATATAATTCGTTTCAACACCACTAAATTAACTAATTATTAAAAATCTAATAGTTTGCAACTGCTAAACAGTACTAAGATGGTTGTGGCTAGAAGCAGGCAATGCTGTTGTTGACCCGTGATACCAGAGAGAGACTAGGACATTGAGCAAAAATCTCAGCAGAATATTAACACCACGTGGAAGTGGGTGCATGGCAGCTTCACCCAGAAGCATGGAGAAAACTTGGTTTTGGTAGAGCTAGAAGATGGAAATGCCTCTACTAACTGCCCACTGTCTAAACAGTAAATAATTAACCATAAATTCAGTTGTTTTTTCCTGCTTGATTGGAATATAGGGAAGCCAGAGCTAGTTGTAAGTGTGCACTCATGACCACCAGGTCACAGAAAGTTCTGTGCATCTCTGATGGACCTACAAATGACTAAATGTGGGTAACCAACAGTTAAAGAGAAAAAGCTACACATTTCAGGCCTTAGTTATCAAACAAAAAAAAAAAATCATTCCCCCCCTCATCGGAGCACGAAACAAATATTTTTAAAAACAGAGCAAAACAACAAAAACATTGGCCCAATTAATTTTTTGAAATCTCATTAAAAAATTTAGTCCAAGTAAGTCATAGACTCCTGACCTGAATTTTAATTATCTTTACGCTGGATGTAAGCTTTTTCTGATATTTGCAATGCATCATTAATTTTAAAGCAACTGTTCCTATGCTTTTAAAGTGCATACTTCATCTGAATGACATTTACCGTAAACCAATTTCACCTTTAAAAGACATCTGTGATAGTACATAGGGAAGCTTTAACACATACAGTGTAATGTATATGTATTCAAAGGACTGATTTAATATCAACATCAATTATTCAAATCTCTTTATGACCTGTCAAATGGTACATCCATCTCCTAAGAGGGAAAGTCTTCCTGAAAAATGTTCTGTATATTTTGAGATGGAAGTGTTGCTTCTGACACGGATTTGTCAAAATACAGTAGGAAGATAAATGGGAAAATGTAGATTCCCATCTCCAGCAACCAGAACAGGAAAACAATGGGCTCTAAAACAGGAAATATTGCTCATATATTGCACGCAATTATTCCACTAATACCTGAGCCTTAAGAACATATAAGGTCTCAAACATCTGGACTGTACAGCTTTGGAAACCTAAATGTACAGTCACTCTGAACTATCAGCTAGAATTTAAGCTGGCTGAACAAGTGGGCTTGAGTTTCAAAATGTTATCATCTCTATCAAAATACATGTATACTGGCTAATGAAAAGTTGATGGTAGAAAAAAAAGAGAGACACCAACACTGGTTAATAGCCCATGTCAATATTCACTTGAGAAGCAAGCTGGGTGCTTCAGGGAATTGTAACTGGAACAGACTTATTCCAGACTGGAATACATAGTATGGAGCATGGTGCCAAATGTAGTGGAACAGAATAGTAGGTAATAAATTCAAACCTGCATCCAAGACGGAGTGACCAATATCTGTACCAGAAGCAGACCTAGCACCTGAGAACTGTAGTAAGTGGCAAAGAGAAGATGTTGAAATGTGTCATAAGGCTTGTAAAACTAATTTTTTTTTAATTAAAATAAAAATCCCACATTTTTAAAATGTCATTTTATATACCCGTTCCATAATCTTTATTACTTACTGCTGTGTACAGCAAGCAATCTGCAAATGTGAATTATCACCCACTCGCAATCAGGAACATTACTGGGAAAACAGTGCTGGGCTGATAACGAGCCAGAAGCCTGACCAAGATTTTATTGGGTCCTCTCTATATTTATATATTCACTTACTCTAATTAGAAAACTTCTAAATATGAAGTTCTATAGCAAGTCATAAGGAAAAGGTTAACTAAAACACTAAATATAAATACTGCAGATGAGCAGCAAGGGATGGCTCTAAACTAGCACTGCAGGTCTTTTGGGGCAAGTTTGCAAGAAACTGTGACATGTAGTCAATTTATCTTTCTTAAAGTCAAAATGATATGCCTTTTATTATATCTGCAACTTATAACAAAATAAATATCAAGCCACCAGAGTGCCATGGCCGTATCCCCAAATTTGATGAAGCAGGAAAATCCTCCAGAATGAGAGCTATGTAGGGTGGCAAGCAGAAGCAACTTGGGTGCAACTCGAAAGCTGTGCCTGCACTAGCACTTTATAGAACTTGAAAAGAAAAACACTGTCCCCAACTTGCTTAAGGGACTTGAAGGGCAGCAGTAGCTGTAAAGCAGTATTGGATAAAACCACATAGCCTCGTTACTGAAGTGTGGTCCAGTACAACAGTGGTCTCCGAAGTGGGGTGTGCGCACCCCGGGGGTGCAAAAGACAATCCACTGGGGTGCGGGAAGAAAACATTAGAACTTATTTATATTTATCTAAAAAAATAAGAAAGAAAATTAAGCTTTACTAATATTTAATATACGGACTGACACTGGCACCCTCACTCGGTCCGTATGTCAGATGGTCACGTGTCACGTACGATACGCAAGGTATCCTGAGGGAAGAGTGGGAGTTCCACAACGCAGAGGGGTTGACAGTGGCGCCCTCACTCGTTTGTTCGCTTTCAGCATAATTCAACATATATTGGGGGTGTGTGCTCAAAAATTTTTTACTGATAGGGGTGCACAATCAAAAACCTTTGGAGACCACTGCAGTAGAGGAAGGCAGGGCATCATAAACTCTGGATCCCAAGTCTACTTTTTCTGTGGCAATAAGCAAGTTGTTGCCTCCACTTTGCTATCTCTCAAATAGAAATGATGAATTTCTGGGAAGGACTGAAAGCATCTTCCTTTTTATTTTCTTCAAAAATGAAGAGAGACTGAAAATGACTGTAAGAAAATAATTGATCTAATAATAAAATGGAAATAACAGAAAAGAATTAATCCTGTTTTGGTCCTTCTGCAGATGAAAAAAGTAATCATTTAGTTTCTCCTGCAGGTAAGGCCTTAGAAGCCCTGTCTGCTCAACAAAAACATCCCACATGTGACACTTCCATAGGAAATGCTTGGCTAAAGCTGTCTTCCTTCCCAAACCCCTATATCACCTGTAAAAACTGCACGACATGCCAGCATAACTAGCAGCAACAACTGTTCCTTTCCCACTGCACAGACACTATGACACTTGGGAGCCTTCCAGGTGAGAAGTTCCGAAAAAGATATTATTCTCATTTAGTTTCTACCAAATAGAAAAATCAGAGCTGCTTCCATGCATATTCATGATGATATGCCAAGAAGCTGATATAGTAATTTTCAGTGCCAAGATGATCCTGCATTAGTCCTCAAACTGGGAGTTTGCAGAAAGGAGACATTTCAGCTTTCCCATAATGCTATATATATTGGCTTACTCAGCATTAGTGCTTTAAAAGCAATAGCAAAAAAATTAAATATCTTTTTTTCCAACCCACATCCCTAACCTGGATCATCTTCAGAAAAGCTAACACACTCAGAGACCCCTATTAACATAACTTAGGTACTAATAGGGCTGGGGGAAAATCATCACTGAACAGTGACCATACAGCCAAATGAGGCTGATCGGTATCAGGGTAACAGCAGTAAATAGTGTATTAGCTACTAATTACACTTAACTATGTCATTACAAATTCTAACATGTGCTCCAAGATGCCATGAATGTATCTGCTGCATAAGAACACTTCCTCATCTTGTTCATGAAATAATTACAGGGGCTCCATCCTGCCAAATGAGGCAGTAATTAACCCTAATTGCTCAAAATGCAACTGGCTAATTCTAGAAGATTAATCAAGGGGATTCAATTATTATTAAATGACTTAATATGACAAATTGCTACATTAGGGGGAAGGAGGGGGCTGTGCTCCATTCTATGTATTTTCAAGGCAGTGCAGCACAAGATACACTAATCACTGTACTATATATGCAGGCAACTTTGTTTTGGAACTCTTATACTGTGTTTTGCTCCAGCTTTTCAGTGAATTATCCCTGCTAAAGAAACCTCAAATATTGCTGGATCCAGTATTTAAAATGACAAACTGACACCCACGCTTCCTTCTACAGTCTGGAACCCAGTCACACTTCCACCAGTCCTCTCAAGTATTTTTTTTTCATTGCAGTCTTTTTGGTAACTACTCACATGGTGCAGAGGTAAAGCTTAGCTGTTCTGATAATGTTGACCACTTGAAACAACTGCAGAAGGGGGAGGCAGCCAGAAGACACAACAATCAGAATTTCTTGACTACATTGAAAATCTGAAGCTATTTTAAGCATAAAGACCCAACAATATCTCTTCTCTATTTTTGTGGGATGCCACGTACAAGAAAGCACCAGTACAAAGAAATGTGTTTGTGCACACAAAAACAATTGAGGAAGCAAGGTCCCAGAGGCTCCAAAGACTTGGAAGCACGGCATAACATTTCATCTAGACCAAACCGTTTCTTCTATTTGGTAATTATCACTTGAATATTCACTATTAAAATATGCAAGCAGATAAAAAAATATATTTATTCATTTAAATTCAAATGACTTCTTTGGCCTCTGTCTGAAGAACTGCAGCAGCAGACAGCGTGGCACGAGCTTTTTATATCTGACTTCAAAACATGTGCTTTAAGCGCAAAAATGATGGAAAATGTTAATGATCCTAGGAAGATGGGAAACAAAGGATTTGAGGCAACGTTGTCAGGCTGTCTCTGCCCACGTCCCAATATGCCCCACGTCTGTTGTGATATTACTTCTTACCAGAAAAACCACAAAGGACCATGGCATCTTTTGGAAAAAGGTGATTTATGTTCTTAGGATTTAAAGGACAAAGTGTGCTTACTTGAGGATCATGCTGATATTCCTGTCCTGGCAGTTTGCAAAGAGGGTTGTTCTGGTCCCCTAGATGATGTGGATGGTTATGTTGTCCTTCCATCATAACATGCCAAACTCTGCCCTAAGGAGTGTGCTGAAATTAAAAAGAAAAGAAAAAAAAGACATATAGTCACATCACTGCTGCCAATCCAACGCATTGAAAGCAAGAAGCCTGTGTGTCTGGGGAAATGCACGTACAAGTCTGGACACAAACAGAGGAAGAGATGCTGATCTTTTCCTCCCTCTGCTCCAGTGGTTGCATCTATCTAGGAAATGCCTGATGTAAGAATCCTTCCTCTTTCGCTATACTTAACTTCCATAGAAACCCCAAAATCCTTCCAGCTTAAGTACACAGACAGCAACCGGCTGAGCACATTCTGACTCTCCATAGTGGTAGGTAACGTAAGGTCTAGGCAAACAGGAGCTTTGACACAAGTATGAATACAAAGCAGAATTGCACAGATGTTATTGTTTTATATCGCCTGGATGTTACTCATGTAAACCAGTGCTGCACCAGTTGAAATCTCAAATTAATTTTGGAGCAATTGTTATCATTACTTTCAATGCCCTAAGTTCCTAATGTAAGATGCAAACAATCTGGGAAAGTTAGCACATTTAGCAGTCATTTAAAAAACCTTTACCACTATCCAGTAATTCAACAATTCCCAAGCAAGTCACATTTCCAGTCTTCCTCTGAAGCATCAGGAATTCCCCTAAGTTAACAGACAGAACATCAAGCCGTTGTCTTGGATCATCCTTTGGTTTCTGAATTCAGAGACCTGGGTTAATGAAATGGCACTGGAACACAGCTCTGGCCCAACTAACCATGCCCCCTTGTGATAATGCATAAGCTGCAAAACCACTTTACTGGAAAATGCAGGCCACCTACTTAAGCTCATGCCACGTTTGATAAGGGAGCAAAACCTTTCCTAGTTCAAGGAGTCAACAGCCTACTTTTATCCTTTGGGCCCAGAGAAAGGAAGCTGTGTGAGACGCTAGGAATAGCTTCGTTAGCGATGCAACCTGATGGAGCCTAGATTATCCCTGGCATTCGTCAGCAACTAGACAAACGAAGTCTGGGGAAGGAATACGCAATGGAGGAAGAAGAAACACACACGGGTCTGAAAGAATTTTTAGAAGCGTCTACCCTCGTTTCAAGCAGCAGAACAATGAAAACAGGAGCGGTGTAATAAAGCGCAATGGAGGCTGACAGCAACTTACTGTTATTTTAGATTGCATTCACTTTCATTAAATTCTAGTTTGGGATCTGCATCTTCTAATTTTCCACAGTACTTCGTACATGAAACTTGAATCCAATTTTCCTTGGATTCTTCCAGAGAGAGCAATAAATAATCTAAGCACAAACTATGATTGAAACTTCCAATACTATTTGTCTTCGAAAGGACTCTAATGCACTTGTTAAACTCAGAATAACCCTTATTCATCTGTTTTGTTACATACTCAGCTGTGCTGTGAAAGCTAAAAATTTGGGTTTGGCAGGCTGATACATAGCAGCACTGAAATTTAGTGATATTTTGCACTTGCAGTATATGAGAGGTATGAGGCAATTATGATCCCTACATAATAAACTGAAGGATGCAAGTGACTTGTCCAATTCATTTGTGGAAACGAGAATTAAATCCAAAATTCTCTTGAAAGCCAAACCATGCCAAGCCAGAAGATCATGTCTTGTAAACCAACCCTGCATTTTGTAAGCCATTTGAAACAGTAAAAAGGTCACTGACTGTTATGCACAGAGTTACAGATTGGCACTCTGCATCCCAGTATTTTGAACATTTGGGACAATCCAAACACCTGGACACGTTTCAACTGAGGGATTTTCACGATTATCCTGTTAGCAACTCAAAATGCCACAGCTACCATTACTGTATAGCTTATGCTAACCCCAAGTTAAGAATTAACCACCCAAAACAAAAAGGTCTTTTATACAATTCGATGCGTTTGGAGAAAAGGCAAACAGCTAGAGGACTCATTAGAATAAAGCCAGATCAAAGTACTGACCAAGGAACAAACAGAGAATAAACTGTGCATCTTTTCTCCTACTGCAATTACTAAACCAATGTGTTCTATAAAAAGTACAGAATTAAAAAAAAAAAAAAAACGTGGTGGCAGGGAGGAAGATAGTGCGTGACAAATGCCAAAAAAAGTACAATTTCTGATAATGTAACATCAGATTTCCTGACACCACTCTCATTTTATTCATTCTGTTGGGACCAAATCCTCCATTTTCAATCTAAAATTTCCCTTCAACCCACACAGATCTCTTCCGTTCCATTTTTTAGCACTGAAAATGTTTCACCATTGCAACTGTGACCTTCTGAGTCAAAATGCAAAAAGGAAATCTAACTGGCCTTTAAGATGCCAGTAATGCGGTTTCCACAAACCAGCAGTGAAATCCAGAGCATCAAACACAGCCCCGAGATGACAAAGCCTCAAGACAGTCACGTCTGGGTTTACTTGCATCTGCCGTGAAGGGCGGAGGATTAGTAAATGGTTTCATGGTATGACTACATTGCTTTTATATATACAGATCAAAATAAAACCAAGTAAAAGTTTGTGGATGATGGAAAGAAAAGACCCACCACATGAATGAATGTCACAAACAAACCTCATTTACAAGTAGACTGTGAGGAATCCAGTCAATGAAATCACCAAAAAAAGCGTTCGATCAAGGAAACCCTGCCTGGAGAAGTAAAATGCACAGGAGGGCTGTACAACTTGGAGCGGTCTGCTGCCCTTTGCTGGGTCCCACAAACCTCCTTCTTCCTTACACACACTGGTAGGCAGAGCTGAAAGCACGGCCAGGTCCAGCGTGAAATGAGCTGGATGTCTCACTCCTGCTCCAACTCCCTGCCCAGAAACACACTAGTTGAGGTCTGGGGTTTCTGCACAGCGACATGCACAGCAGGACAGGAACTCAACAACTTCTTCAGTCTCAGTCAATGAAGTTCCAGGCAAGACAAGTTACTCTGTTTTACTGCAAGAACAAGCATGTGCTAAAACTCACCATTTTTGTTTGTTTCCTTTAGGAGAAGGAACAAAATGTATCCAGACCATGTGAATACAGAGCATCCCATTTAGAAATCAGGAAGTCTAAGAGAATGACTGGGGAGGCCAGATTCTGCTCTCCTCTCTTGCAAGGGAAGTGTTCCCCAAATAGTCAGTAGGACTATCCATGGACTCAAGTACTGCTCAGGAGGCAAGAGTGGGCCCTACTTTAGCCCAAAAAGCAAGCGTGTGCTTCAGAAATACATTCCTAGTTCACACAGCAAATCCTCAGTCCCTCAGGAAACGCAAGGAGGTTCTGAACAAAGAATGTGAGGTCAATACAGGAACTTGCCTGTTTAGTCACTGTTCACATGCATTTTCTGAACAGTGCTAGTACTGGATCCCATCTTGGTTGCTGGTCTGATGACTGCTCCAAGAGAACCATGACCAGATAAGAGCTAGTGCCCAGCACAAACATTTTCAGAAACTTCTCTTCCAGCAGTTTTGGCCAATATTGGCTTTGATTAGGGACTGTGTCAATAGTGACTCTACCCATGGGACTTGGATATTGACCTTTTATTAGTTTGAACTAAGATCGTGGGGTGGAAGAGAAAAAAAAAAAAGAGGGTCACCTGCAGTGCATGGCATGCCAAAGATATTTTTGCATGAAGTGCTTGGTCCTAGCAGTGGTGATAGCTGCACAGCTTGGAGAGCAGACAGATCTTCGCCAGCTGGAGCTAACACAACCTACCGTAACGCAAAGATGTGCAGTGACATTTTAAAAACCTCCACTCAGAAATCTGTTACTAAATATTAAAGAAACACTTTAAAATTTCCAATAGCTAGGTGCAAAACTGGCACTATGTTTATCACGTGAATGGCTTCTTTTTTTTTTTTTTTTTTAAGATTATTCCTCCTACC